TGAAGGGATTGAGAGCAGCCCTGCTGAGAAGGACTTGGGGGTACTGATGGATGAAGAGCTGGACATGAGCCAGCAATGTGTGCTTGCAGCCCAGAAGGCAAACCGTATCCTGGGCTGCATCCAAAGAAGTGTGGCCAGCAGGTCAAAGAAGGTGATTCTGCCCCTCTACTCTGCTCTGGTGAGACCCCACCTGGACTACTGTGCCCAGCTCTGGAGTCCTCAGTTCAAGAAAGACAAAGACCAGTTGGAGCAGGTCCAGAGGAGGCCACAAAAGCAATCAGAGGGATGGAACACCTCTCCTCTGAGGACAGGCTGAGAGAGTTGGGGTTGTTCAGCCTGGAGAAGAGAAGGTTCTGGGAAGACCTTATTGCAGCCTTCCAGTACTTAAAGGGCGCTTATACGAAAGATGGGGACAGACTTTTTAGCAGGGCCTGTTGCAACAGGACAAGGGGTAATGGTTTTCCACTAAAAGAGGGTAGATTTAGAGTAGCTAGAAGGAAGAAATTTTTCACAACAAGAGCGGTGAAACCCTGTCACAGGTTGCCCAGAGAGGTGGTAGATGCCCCATCCCCAGAAACATTCCAGGCCAGGTTGACGGGGCTCTGAGCAACCTGATCTAGTTGAAGATGTCCCTGCTCATCGCAGGGGGGTTGGACTAGATGGCCTTTAAAGGTCCCTTCCAACCCAACTATTATATGATTCTATGACTATGTCCCCTTCTCTGCAAAGGAAGCAGCAGTAGGCCGAGAATTGATTAGGCACGTGACCTTCATCCCCGTAAGACATGTTCAAAGAAATTGAACCATCTGAACGTGGAACGAGATTTGGAAGTTACTTGTAGAGACACTGCTGGCTGAAAAAAATGTTCTTAAGGATAGAAACAAAGCTGGACCCGTACCAGCAAGTTATGACTGAGACCAGAAGGTAAATGCAAAATAAGCTGTGCGGAAAGCCGTGTCAGGGAGGAAACGCTGGCAACACGCTGCTCTTAGCTGGGCAGCACAGGGTGTGCTCCCCCTTATACACAAGATAAGGCTCAGAAGGCTACAATCTAATCCTACTGTGACTGTTAGAAATTCTCATCTGAAACAGCAAGGCGGCAGTCCCTGCCATCTACAGGCAGACTATTACTCCAGGAAAGAACCATAAACTCCGATAACCACTACATTTAACACCTTTCAGTTTCACTGCAAAAAAGAGTGGGCAGAGGTCTATTACAGCATGTTTCATGAAGCAGGTTGTATTACTGCTCTGAAGGGAAAAAAAAAAATATGGAGTTTACACTCCAATTGCTGTGGAGTGCATTTAATCTAAACTGTCCAGCATTATGGTTGTTTCAGCCACTTACCAATTTCTACATTCAGATGACACACTTCCATCTTTTTTTCTTTAAGCTGGAATTTAATTGGAATTAGCAGTGATAAGAACACAATTTTTGAAGTAAAGGCTTCAGTGCTAAATTGCAGTGAAGTCATAAAGAGATGTAGCCACTTCTTTACAGCCCAAAATTAGGCAAACTGGATCCTCAAGGGTACTTAGATAATGACTGTATGATCATGTGTCCTGACAAATTGTCATCTTCTCCCAAAGAGTGAATTTCTGCTTTTACATACTAAATTGTAATGTTGTTAGCAGCCTTTGTAATTAACAGGTTAAAAAAGTTGTGTGATACTTTACGTCAACTCCACCCAACATTTCCATTTTGAATGTTGACTGAGCTCTTGTTTGCCAAAGGAGAAAAAGCTTAGGGAAATCCACTCACCTGAACGTATACTAAAAGCATGGAGCGAGCTACATAGTCCTACCTACCTGTAGAATTGAACACTAGCTCTGCTAAAACATTCTTCCAGATGTTGCCAAACCCCATTTTCATGAGTACAGTACAATCATCTGTTATCAAAGATCAACATCCTCCTTACCTGAGCCCACTTTTTGTTTCTACTTTGCATCTGAATGGCAGCAATAGATGCAAAGAATTCTTCTGAAGGCAAGTCCTCTGGTAGCTTTGTTAAAAACTGGGCTATATGAATGAAGTCCATTTTGGTCAAAATATCTTCAAAAAGTTTTAATATTCCCAGGGCTGTACGGAATAAGAACTCTTCTCCATCACGGCAGAACACATCCCAGACACGACATGCCAAGTCCAGTGGCAAAGATTTACTGTACAATGTGAATATCCTGAAAAACAGAGTAAAATTTTCAGAGTTACTGCACAAGAACAACATCTTAGATACCAGCAGAAGTACACAGACTGATTATTAGTTCAGTTTAAGGCTTCTCAAATATTTGTATCTGAATACTTTTTATTTTTTTTTTCCAAAAGTACTGCTGCTTAGTTGCTGCATAGCAATACATGAAACAACATAAAATTGTGCAACAGTTCAGGCATCTTGCTATCAATCTGGGTCTCCAAGTTTAATTTTCTCGGATCACAGCAGAAGAAACAATAATACATGGTTTTATGATGGACATGCACTGGCTACAGGTATAATCAAAGACATATTTCATCATCACTTCAGAGTTGAGGACTGATGAAATTTTAGCTGTGAGAACACAAAAAGCTGAATCTTAAGACATAATGTAAAGGGAATTGTGTGGATCAGATGAAGGAGGTGTGTAAAATTAACTCTGTATTGCAGGCTTGATTGACTGGCAAAGTAATAATAGTTTTGGAGGAAAGATCAGTTTAAACTCTAGTGAGTTGGGAGAAAAAACACAAGATGCCCAGAGAGCATGCATAGATAGCTGTGATAAGTTGGTGGCTCCATGTGCTTGAACAGATGCGATCTCCAAAGAGTAAAGGTAACAGCAGAAGCAAGAACCTCCTCCCAATTGCTACAACTGCATTTTCATTAACTGCCAAGAGCACATTTCTTCCTTCATCAAAATGCTGACAGCCTTGTAGCCAGTAACACTAAGATGCTTCCCACTCCCTCCTCTATCTGACTACAAGGCAGAGCATTTTTCATTGCCACTAACAATGTAATAACAGCAAGTGAAGAGAACTAAGCTTCCTGGAATCATGTTATAGCACATAAGGGAAAAGAATTACAGTGGTTTTTCCTTCAGAATTTACAGAGAGAACATTTCTCCACAGATGCACTGAAGAAAAGATCTCTGTAAAACTGCAAATAATTCCTTCTCCGGCAGAGGTCAGCAAAGCCTCAAATTTAAATAAAACCTTTCCACATCTTTTAACACAAAATTTCTTTTCAAGGACGCTGAATCTTCTCTTGTGTTTAAGACTCCCCCTTATCCCTTCCAATATTTCTATTTAGGAAATTTGGGTTTACATTTAAAATTACAACAGAACATATATACACACACACACATATAGGTATATAATATCAATCAGTATATTTTCACAGCAAATTCTAGTAATCAAAGGTCTTCTGCAGTATCTGCTTTTTACTATATAAAATTATTTGAATGATGTGTCATCAAGTATCCAGCTTCTCTGTGAATCAGTGCATTTCAGGAAAATAGGAAAATATATTCATTTTACAAGCAGCAAGATGAAACTAAACCATTTGCACAAATTCAGGTAAGTAAATTGCACGTCTAGGATCCTTAGGATTTTACTTCTATTTTTACATCTCATTGCAATGTTTTTGTAACAAGTGGAAATAGTTTAAACTCTGTTCTCCAAAAAGCTACATCAGAAGTATAAAAATAAGCAAGTAAGAGGTAGAGTCTGGGATGACAAAAACCACTGTTGTTCATGTATGTATGTAAAATACATGCATGAACGTATAAGAATAGCATGGTACAAGCCCCTTCTTTGGTTTACTGGCTGATTGGGTGTTGCAGACTTTGTATACTCTTTCAACATTTTTGCACAGTCACGTGCCATACAGAAATGTCTTGCTACAGAATACTTACACGGCAGAATTAAGACTTTTTGTCTATGAACACACATGCACAGGAAACAGCAACAGCTTTTCCATTTAAAAAGAATGGTGTAATAGGAAGCAATTGAACTGAGTCTTTTTTCCTGGTCACTGAGTAGCAGGCAAACACTCAGCCAGAAACTAGTCCTGGTTAAAGATAAATAACAATACCTATTTTTTTAATCTGTTTTTATTCACAAAAGCTACTGTTCTGCCATGATTCAGACTTAACCTGAATAACCCCTGTGTATTAAATCTGCAACTATGCAGAAAATTAACTGTCAGAAGAAAGAGTCAGAACTATTTATCAGAACACTAATTTTTGTAGGAAAAGATTTACTTGCATCAAAAAAGATGTCACATCGAATAAGGTATTTGACATTGATCTCTCTGTAATTTGGAAAGAAGTGCAATTTGCAGGAAATTCACAAGGCAATTAACTTTCATTAATACTAGCATGGAATTAAATGCATGAAGCCTTAAGAATGGAGACTGGGTCCCCTAGAATAAGCAATGAAACAACAGTACGAGTCACCAATAATAAGAATGGATACAGCATTTTCTCCCTTCAAACATTTCCTACTGAAAGACATTTTTTATTAGACATCGAGTTACTGGTTTGAAACCCAGCTGAAATTTATTATAGTAATAAAGCAGCTGCTAGACTAAAACAGTTACAGCAGCAGCTCTCAGCAGCAGCACAGGACTTGCACATGACCTGCTCTCACTGCACTGCGGGATGATTTTCTGTCTGCAGCCCTCTCCCAGCTCACTAGCAGTCCCCGGTGCAGACAACACAGCTAACTAGCACAGAGGTGTCCAGTGTCAGAGTAATGTAAGTGCAGGCTGCTGGCCGCTATCTGTTTGGAAGGGGAAAAAAGCCCGAAGTATCAAATGCTCCTGCTCCTCCCAGCCCTGCTTATGATGAAACTGTACTTCGAGATAGATGCATGAAATCCTGGCTAGTTTGCTACTCACAGGGAAAGTGTATGACCATAACGTTATCAACAAAGCACAATTACCATGATAATTATAGGTCCTGTGTTTTCTTTCCTTTGTTCCTTCTCCCTCCCACCTTTTTTTCCCCCCTTTTTCTTTCTTTTTTAACTAAAAAGTCTTCATAAGCTATCTGACAACAGCACTGAAGACAGGTATGCCAGATTTTGGATTGACAACTCATGTACAACACCACTGATGCAAATCAGATGTTATGTACCCCCGCACTACACATCGTCTTCCCATGTCTGTAAGAGCGCAAAAATATTTCTGTAACTTCTGATCTCAGCTGTGGAAACTAATAAACTAATTCACCATTCAAACTCATTCTTGGATCCTCCCTCCTTCATCCTGGTACTAATTTTTAGTTGCTACATTTTATATCAATTTCAACTACATCTGCTTTGAGACAGAGATTGCATCTTTTTAAGTGTTCATGCATTACTTTATTGTATAGTGGCACATCTGTTCTCATTAGCACCTTTGGAGTTACTGCAATAAGCTTGTTGGTAACAGTTAGTTTAGTACCATTTAAAAATCATTACAGTTGGGGAAAAAAAGTGGAAGCATTTACTTTCTTGCTTATAAGGGAAAGAAAAAGTATAATGTATTTTACAATACTGACTGCAACAGAGCAACCTCTTAGCACTCAGCTAATCTGACTGCATTCTAAAATGTTATCAATATAACAGAAATACTGTGTGAGTTCCTGAGCAATTTCCCAGCAGTCAGATGCACCCAAAGAAAGTCCTGCTCTCTCACCTAAAAGTACCACAGGGCAACGCAGTATTTCACTTGATTCCACCCTAACCTGCAGTGACAGGATAAGCACACTGTCAACTGGGCTGAAGACTCATCTTTTGGAGTCTAGTGCCACCAGAAACCTTTGGACAGAATTGCACTCCATTTTTTCTTTGAAAAGGAGGCATGCATTTAAAGCATCATCTTGAGCTTCATTTTTTTGGGGCACTGGAGAATTACTGGCATGATGTGGACTATGTTTTTCTTAATGTAACAGTAAGCTTATAAATACTTCACTGGAAGTGCCCACTACAAATGTCCATACAAAGTGGCTTGGACCTTTATCATAACAAGCAAATGGTGTCAATAGAAAGTTAGTGTTCACAGAGCACAATCACAGTCAATGCAGTACTAAAGAACCATTAATCAATCCATCAGTACAAACAACACCCTTGGCTATAATTATTGCCAAAATGATTTTTCTGAGTAGGGATAAAGAGGTGTTTGTATAGCAGCAGAAGGCCATAAATAGACAGCATGTGTCCTTTGCAAATCCACATTCTGCTCTGCTCACAAGAGCCTGCGGTACATCAGCTGACAGAGCCAAGAAGCCAAAACCAGGCTATTCAGACACACTATTTCCCCTCTATTCTCTGTGAACCTGACTGTACGTTGCTCTTTACACCCTTCACACACTCTGTTCCCTTTCTGTTCTTCAAAAAAAGTGAAAACCTGTCTAGGTTTTGAATTCTAACCGTGAGATTTACCAGCTGGAGTTCAGGCTTGAAGCACATGGGTCCTTTTTAAAGGGATGCCTTACTTCTGGCAGTTATTGGCTGATAATCATGCCACTGTACCTTTTAATTAAATTCTTAAGTCCTTGGCATTTTCCCATCACAGAAGGCAGTGGTGGAATTGAAGTGGCAGGGGGTACTCCCCTCCCTAAATCCTCTACTAGTCCCAAGAAAACCAAAAGCAGCATAGCTGGGCCCATCCGTATGGACAGCATTTCTTTTTCTTGGAACATATCGCTTCAACAAATGGTTTAAGCATACCAATTTTACTGTTGTTCCCTGCAGCACTGTTTACAGGAAGCAGCACAAAGGATACTAGTTGATTCCTCTGTAATTGCGGCAGGAGCAGGAGGGTTTCCCAGCAACTGGTCTGTGTGGCACTGGCTACTGGAGCTGGCACCAACTGAGATTTACTGCACACATGCCTGCACAGTAACCATGCCAGCCACTGGAATAGCAGCAGGCATCCCTTTGGAGCTCAGAACAAATACACATATAAATAAAAGTAATGTTATTAGAGCAAGGCTGCTTCATAGAGATTTTTACCTACAACCAAAAGGTCCGTCTGTTCAGAGCAACACTGTACCATATTCTTCCCTGACTTTAAACACACTGAAACCACATTCTTTCTGCAAACAGTGCTGTTTTTAATGGGGCAATATCTGTACTACAGCAAATTCACTGTCAGCCATGAGCTGCAGGCAACCTTATAAACACCATTTTCCAAAGTCCTCAGCTTTAATAGTTACTCACTTGTGAGAACTCAGACCCACCTGATTTCTCCTTCTATCTTTTCTATATTACTTTCTGGAAGTAATGGAAGGACAGCACACATTTGCTAAATCTCCAGTGGCCATTAAAAAAAATTTTTTTTAAAATCTAAATCTGCTTCCTACAGCATCAAAGTATTTTACAGCAGAAAATGTGTGTGTATATATATGCACACACACACATGTATACATATACTTATATACACATGTACACACACATATATCTATTTAAAGGTTATACCTAAATCTTACACCAGTAAATACCAACTCCACTGTCTAACAAAATTAAAGACAGAGTGCGGACAACCTGTCTAGCTCAAGACAAGTGTGAAAAAAGTTTAATATAGGATCAGGCAGGACTACCTCAACTAGCCTACATTCCTGTGCAAGATCATAGTGTTGTGACTCTCCAGGGATGGGGAGGACCACAGTAAATTGTCATTGGGATTAAAATAAACAGCTTTAATAGGGATGCAGGTAGTCAGCAAAAAATGCTAAGGGTTGTCAGTCCACTGGTGTAAAGACCTTGAGAAGCACCATCCACAAGCACTCCTGACAGAACTTTCTTCCAAGTGCTCTTAACAATACCGACAGAAGGAACAAAAGGGATGTGCCCCACACACTCAAGACTTCAACACTTCAGTTCTTTGCTCTTAAGTCAGCCTTTTTTTTTTTAAACCTATAAATGTGCTCAGAGAGAACTGATCACATAAATGTTTACTCAAGAAAATACAATAAAGACCAGTCTATCAAAGCAAAATTGCTGAGGGGAACATAAACCTTCAACCTTTCATCAAAACAGCTTTTTTCTAAATCTCTAATTTCTGGTATTGCTCCTCAGGATTTCCTCTTTACAAGGTAAAGCTCAGAGTTAGACAACAGAGTAATATTAACATGCCTGCACCATGAAGACACTTGTTTTTAGTCTATCCTACATTAAAAAAAATCACCTTATTTATGACAGCATTATATTGAACTAGTAATCCACTAAAAAGATGACAACCTGGTGATTTTAATGTTGTCTATCCAGTTATTCTCCAGCATGTTTACAGCCTTCCTATTCTGATATCCCTTTTATTCAATTGCTTCCTCTATAAACAGGCTTTTTACAACATTGTCTGTGGCAATATAATTTCAACATCTTTCCTCTTATCATTGAACACACCAGCCTCTGCCCTCTTCCTTCCCTCTATCCTATACCAGTATTTTTTCTAGCATCTTCCTGCTCTGTGCATAGATCCAGTTCAGTTTAATATTCTCAGCCTTCAGTCATAAAATTCCTTCTGACAGTACCTCTCCCATCAAATGTTGGGAGAAGTGAGCCTATCCATTACACACCCCCTCATTCTCCTATTCATGTTGCATTAAAATTTAATCCCAGTGTAAAAGCAGAGTCAAACAAAGCCCATGTTACACTGTCCTCTGTGCAAGAGCCATATCAAAATAAAGGAACTCAAGCAAAGGCAGCAGGAGGCCTGTATGGATGAACAAGAACCTCCTGACAAAATTCAAACATAAAAAGGAAGCATACAAGAGGCTGAAGGAGGGGCAGATGACCCTGGAGAAATACAGAGACATGGTCTGAACATGCAGGGAAGGGGCTAGGAAAACCAAAGCCTATCTGGAGTTGAATCTGGCAATGGACGTTAAAGACAATGAGGAGGGCTTTCCACAGTTACACCAGCAGAAAAAAAATACTCAGGGAAAACATGAGCTCGTTGCTGAACAGGGCAGGGTACCTGGTGACAAGGTATATGCAGAAGGCTGTGGTAGTCACTGCCTTCTTCGTCTCAGCCTTTACTGAGAAGACTTGCCTTCAGGAATCCCAGGTCCTCCAGACCAGTGGGAAAGCCTAGTGCAAGGAAGCCCTACCCTAGGTGGAGGAGGATCACATTAGGGAACATTTAAACAAATTGGGCATGTACAAATGTATGGAACCTGGTGAGATAAACACGAGTGCTGAGGAAACCGTCTGGTGTGATTGTGAGGCCACTCTCAATTATCTTTGAAAGTTCTTAGTGATTGGGGAGGTTCCTGGGGACTTGAAGAAAACAAATGTCACTCCTATCTTCAAGAAGTAGGATCCAGGGAACTATAGGCTGGTAAGCCTCACCTCTATCCCTGGGCAAGTAATGCAAGAAAAATTCCTGGAGATCATTTCAAAACCTATGATGGGCAAAAAGGTGATTGGGAGAAGTCTCTATGGATTTATGAAAGCAAATTCATGCCTAACCAACCTGATAGCCTTCCACAATGATAGAACTGGCTTAGTGGATGAGGAGAGCGCAACGGATGTTGTTTATCTTGATGTTAGCAAGGCTTTAAACACTGTATCCCACAAAATCCTTGTTGATGAACTAATGAAGTATGGACTAGATAAATGGACAGTGAGGTGGACTGAAAAGTGGCTTGAAGTGCCATGCTCAGAAGGTTGTCATTAGTGGCATGAAGTACAGTTTCAAGCCAATCCACTGGTAGACTACGGCAGAGTTTGATATTCCTCCAATACTTTTAAACGTCTTCATTAAGGACCTATCTGATGGGGCAGACAGTACCCTCAGCAAGTTTGCAGGTGATAGAAAACTGGGAGGAGGGGCCAATGCAAAAGTTCATAGGGACCTTGAGACACTGGAGACATGAGCCGACCTGAGTCTCATGAAGTGCAACAAAGGGAAATGCCAAGTCCTGCACCGGGGAGGAAATAAGCCCAGGCACCAATACACATGGGAAGCCAACAGGCTGCAAAGTAGCTTTGCAGAAAAAGACATGGAGGTCCTGGCGGACAAGAAGTCAAATGTAAGTCAGCAACATGCCTTTGCAGCAAAGAACATCCATAAATTCCTGGGCTGCATTAGGAACAGCACTGCCAGCAGACCAAAGCAAGTCATCTTCCCTCCTCTCAGCACTGGTGAGCCAGCTCTGGGCTTCCCAGTACGAGACATGGACATACTGGAGTAAGTCCAGCTTGCCATGAATACGATTAAAGGCTTGCAGCATTTGATATGCAGGGAGAGGCTGAGAAAGCTGAGACCATTTAGGTGGGAGAAGAGATGGCTCGGACTTAAGTGTGTAAAAATACTTGAGAGGATGGTGTAAAGACGACAGAGCCAGACTCTTCTTATTTGTATCCAGTGAAAGGACAAGAACCCACGGGCACAGACTGAAATACAGGAAAAAATCAAAATAACTTGTTTACTGTGAAGGTGGCTGAACACTGGAACAGGTTGCCTGGAGAGGCTGCGGAGTCTCCATCCTTGGAGACACCATTCAAAACGTGACTGGACAAGCTCCTGAGCAGCCTGCTCTATTTGACCCTGCTTTGAGCAGTGGATCTAGACTAGATGGTCTCCAGAGGTCCTTTCCAATGCCCCAGCAATTCTATGATCCTATGAAAACTCATGTATTCAAACTTCTAGCTGTTGGATTGGACTGAATTACTTTAAATGGATTTCTGTTTAACGGATCAGCAACATATTCAGTGCTAACAAATAGATCTTAAAGATCACCAGGGTATCAAGAGCTTGGTTCAGGTAGAATTGCATTAGCAGTACAGATGTTTTCCAAACTAATAACCTCTGAATGTCAGAAAAAAATGCTGTTACTACTGGGAATTCCATCTTTTACTCAATGTATTTAGTCAGATACCTGAGAACAGGAGAAGTTGTCAACAATTTAAGTGCAAATCAATTTTTGGCAAAAAAAATTTCATACTATCCTGAAACTGACAACAAAGTCTTGCTGAGAAGAGACATTTTAGTTGCCCCAAAGCCAAGCATGATAGGCAGAAATGCAAATACTCAATTTGGAGTGCCTTATACCACTCTCAAATTTGGCAGAAGTGCAAATAAGATCCTTGTCTTTTTTCCTCTCTAAGGAAAAAGGTTCTAAAAACACTAGAACTAAAAAAGAAGGCAGTTTCACCAAATACAAAGATCATAATTGCCTGTCTACTAAGTGGAATAGCTGCAGTAATTAAAAACATGCGAATATCCTTTAGGTCTTCAATTGGACTGTGTCAAGATGAGTTTTTAAACTACCTGTATTGGGATCCTCTAAACAGAATCTGGGACCATCTAACATACGAGTGAGATACTGCCCAAGAGTCATAGTTCATCCTGCCAAAAGCTTAGGTGTTTGATTTTCTGTAGCATCTAGCTTTTGTTGTATGGACAGAAACACTATGTTTTAACTACTCATTTCCTGTTCTGTGCAAGAGGACAAACTATAACTTTCAATGCAAGACTAGCAGTACTTTCTGGATACACACACCTGGTACACATCAAGCTGAAAAACTAACAGATTTTCTCAGAAGATCACTCCAAATGTGCGCTAAATATGGATAAACACTGCTACACAGCTGTATTTCAAAATAAGCTTCAAACTCAACAGAAGTACAATAATACAGGTTAGGCAAATGTTGAACATCACCAAAGTACGTGGGAATGATTTGGATTAACAAACTCAAGTACTGAACAAAAGATAAAGCCTTTATCTTAAAAGAATACTAAACCAGGTAAGAGCACTCCAGCTTCTGTCATGAATACTGACATGGAGGTATATGCTAGTGTGCACATTAATTATACTTTCAATGTCTTACCAATCAATAAGATAGATGTCTGGAGTTAAGTTATTTTTTTTGAAGTGAGCAAATAACTTTGGCAGATTTTCTTCAAAGAATACCTCAAATGCAGCGAAGTAAGTCAGCATCTGGGAAAATACAATGGGGAAGAAAAAAACAGTTAGCTGTATTAATAGGCTTAAATGTATTATCTGTTGTTGGATCAATGCTCTTCAAAAATAGGATTGTATGAATTAGATGATACAGTAAAGAACTAAGCATTCACATAAAGGACAGCATCTTGCAAGCACACAGAGTTTAAGATCTATGCTATATACTGTTCTCATACTGAGCAATATAATTACTGCTTTGGGTCTTGGCCAGATTCCTTTGGAAAGAAAAATACCAGCAGGAAAGAAGTTGTTTGCCGATTTCTCAAAATAATTATGATAACAGAATGGTGCTTTATGCTTGTGGCAGTAATTTAATATTACCCTGAATAAAATCCAAAGCCCAATGGATTATAAAATGAAATATGAAACTAAAACAATTTAATAGTCTGCGGCAAGAGTGAAGTGTCCAGTTGACTCCAATCATAAATCACATTCTAAGACCAAAGCTTTTTTTATACCATGTTTTAAAATGAGATAATAGCATTTCTATTGCAAAGCGAGAGACACTTAAGTTCACACAGAAAAGCCAAAGATCAAGACAAAACACCTCTGCAAGAGAAATAAATTGTGACTCCCCTCTGATACCATAACTCCTAAAATGTAATGCTTTTAAAACAAAGACTTCCACGTTGTTTTAAAATTTGAATATTTAAGTCAAATCTCACAACAGAGGGCATGTAAAAAGAAATTCTTCCAATCCAACTAAGAGTTAAAAACAAAAGGATTTTTAGCTTCCCCACTCCCCCCTGCCCTGTCGTCTTAATACTATAGGGAGTGAAGTTAAGCAAAGTCCTTGAATGCTTCAGTAATTTTAATTACAGTAACCCAATAAAAGCAATAAAGAATGGCTGCGATTACTTCAAAGTATGAGTTGTATCAGCATGCTTCTTCCCAAAACACCACGACAGTAAAGGGAAAAGAAAAGCCTTTTGGAGCCTTTTGTCTGAAATCCTTTTAAAGGATGAAAAATTTATTTCCCTCCCTTTTTTTTAATGTCCTTACAGAAATTCTTCCCATTTCATCTGAATGAAATGACAGATGGTGGACTACCTTCATTAACAGCAGCAAATAAAAAAATTGCGCCTGGTAATCAGTAACAGTATAAGGCTTGAAAGCCAATCAGATATGGGTGTATGCTACAGAAATGAACATACAAAGTTACGTAAAAATCTCTGAGCCGTCAGTTACTGAGAAACAGCTTCATGGCAAACATGAAACCAGAAATCTAGAAACCCACTTTAGAGAGCTGTACAACTGAAACAGCTTCCCGATACGGATTTTTAAATGCATCGAACCCAAGCATCGCATGGTATCTGTGAAGATAAAGAAGGAAGGAGCTAATGCGACAGTCATACTTCCAAAATGATCTGTTTATATGCTAGCACCCTAGTGTCCTACTGTTTAAACAACAAAAGCGATTGTTGTTGATGTCATACATTCCCTTGCTTTATTTCTCCCATTTGAACTCCTGAGAGACAGATCCTATTTTCATAGTATTAAAAGGTAAATAAGTGAGAAAGAAATACAGAATGCCACATATTTTACAAAAAAAAAAAAAAAACAACAAACTTTTAAGGTAAATTAAAAGGACATTTCCGGAGATGTACCATAGCAAGATAAGACACTTAAGTAGCCCAGAGTACATGCTAACAAATTTTAGGGACTCCAGAAAGAATCAGGCAACCAGCTTGACTGAGAACTGGAAGGGTCTTCTCATCTGATTCCCCCAGACTCGTCTTCAAACACAACGGCTATAATAAGAGATGGAATACCTGGTTCTCCCTGCAACAGTATTTTTCTCAACCTGTTAGTTTGAAAAGCACCTTCAAGATGCTTCTGATGTTAAGGTGTTTTCAGCTTTCAAGTACAGTGCTCAATGTGAAAAATCCCTACAATAATATTCTTAAAACTATTCTCTGAGCACCATAAAATAGCAGCTGAACAATTTCATTCACCTGTCTGTTCAAAAAGGTTAGTGGGGTGGGTTTTGGTTCGGTGTTTTTGAGGGGGTGTGCATGTGTGTGTGTGTTGGTTTTTTTTTATCGAGCGTGTTGCTTTAAAATAAATTCTGACATATTTTCCAAGCCACTGAGCCCACCAATTTATTATTAAAAAAAAAAAATATTTTAAAATATCTACATGTTGATTAAAGTTTTCTTGCGTACTTACAAGGCCATGGTCCACACGGAAAAACGCCATCTGACAGGGTTTATTTAAAAGGTTAGAAAAAGCAATGAAGGCATCTGCAGTATCCAAATTCAAGATCAATACTGCTGCTATGAATGACATGCCCTGTACCTGAAGAAAGGAGAAGTGTTACCATTCAGCAATAACTGTGTTCTTCCAAGAATACTTCCTCATTTTGTCCCGGTAATCTCTAGTGTTTAATGCACTCGCTGAGCTGCTGCAGTTTGTGAAACATTCAGAAAAGTAGGATTTTTTAGCCCACGTGACCCTTTGGTATTGCATGTTCAGAGCATGGAAGTTAATGATTCCCATCTTGCCTCCTTTCAAAGACTAAGTAAAACTCTTAAGACAGGCTAGGATGACAGCACTTTCAAATATGCAGAATAAAGATTTTTTTGTTTGAAGAATAAGCAGTTTCTAAGTAATCCCTCTTCTCCTAGGGATGCATCATATACATCCTTATTTATGGAAAATTGGACTAGGACACTAGAGACAAAGACTGTTCTTTCCTTTTTCAATCAACTACTGGCAGTTACAGACAACTGCAATGACTCATTTGACAAGAGTAAGTAGCATTTTAAGATTAAGCTCGTTTCATTCACCATAAGCTCACAATGTGCTTGCATTATGCTACAAAGTAAGCTATGGAATCAATGCTGAATCCAGGCAAAGCTCACTCACTCAGAGGGTATAACACTGCCATTGCAGAGTAACATGGACCAAGGTATGACAGTCCTTCCTGAAAACCTGAGGAACAAGCTCCTTCCCAACACAACAACAGGTTCCATGCCAAATGAAGCACACCACCTGATCTGCCCTTTTTCTAGCTTCCCGGCAGTTGTGTTCAGCAATTTTTGCCAAGCATCGCATGCTACACAGAGAACAGGAACGTTATCTTTCTACAATTGCCTTCTCTAAAATAACTTCCCCTGAATAAAGAATAAGCTCCTATGTATTTCCCTGCTCTTGGTAAAAAGACTAAATGAAGTATCTGAAATGCACTCAGTCCTCTCATAATCGCTACTTCAAATACTTTGACGGCAATCACTTAGCCTCGATGGGCATTGCTTGAGAGACTATTCCAGAAGCTCACACTGCTAAGGCACAGAAATACATATCAAGAGGAGTAAGACACTCAACTCAACAGTAGAGTCTCAGTAAGACTGCCATTAAGAACAGTATGTACTTCAAAGGACCAATTAACTACATCTTCTCTTTTGACTCCGATTTCCAAGCACTACAAATAGTTACTTTTGAGTTTTCCAATTATTTAACCGGTTAAAAAGCTTAAATTAGCAACAGAACCATTATATACACTTCTCAAGCATGTATTGGAATAGAAGAAAGCACACAGAAACCCCACAAGTCTTCACAAAATCATTTCATACTGGTCTACAAAGGACTGCTTAACAAAATCCTCCCTCCTCCTAGTTCTCCCTCCCCACGCCTGAAAAAAAAAAATTCTTCACTTACATAGCCGACATCAGGTCTGTAACAAGTATAGGCTCCTAAAATACTGTGCAACGTGTCATGGTAAGGACCACCCTATAAGCAAACAAAAACAAGACAATAAACCTGAGTATAACAAACATGTTAAAAACCCTCCAGTGCTACAGACAGTATCCATTATTTCTGAAAGACCCATTATTTCCCTATGCAGTTTTGAGCAGCCTCAAGTTTTTAAAAACAATTTTGGCTTTAAAAGTATGAAACAGCCCTTCATACCACACTTACTACATATGCATACAGTTCATTCAATACATCAGTTACATAGCAAATCCTTATACAAAAAGAACATAAGCCTGAAAGATTCCTTATAGTTCCAATAGCGCAGAACACTAATGAGAACTACTTCATTGTCTATTAGACTAGAGGCAGAATTCAACCATGAAGAAAATAATTAAAACAACAACAATATGCCATAACATACACACAGCATATCAAGAATGACGTGTATAGCTAAAAAGAATTTCACATTGTTTACTATTAACAGCTGCCATATCTTACACCAAGTACTGTAACTGGCTGAGAATTTCCAAAGGGAAAAGTTTTTTCACCCAAAAATGTTGATTTATCACAATCTAAACTCTTTAGAAGGCTGCTGAAATTTGTGTCTAGAAGGACAAAACACCTGGTTAAAATGAGTTGTTAAAGCACACCAAAAACATACAAGTTAAACTGGTCTTGCATGGAACCAAAAAGAGGCCACCAAATCTTGCTTGCTTGAGCTGTGCTCTCTCTCACTTACCATGTATTGGCAACCCAGCAGTGTTGATTCACTGACTTGGAAACACTCACCTGTATCACTACACCAGACAGAAACCAGCATGAACTGGGCTAGATGAATCATGATGATTAGCCAACAGATTGTTTTTTTGCATCTTCCAAACATAGCTTGAGGTTAGTCTTTTCTACATTATTTACAGTTTTCCAAAACCTTTAGGAACTTTTTCCTCAAGACATCTACTCCTTCAGATTTGAACTCAATGGGCTGTTTCAATCAAGGGACAGGCAAGATTATGTAAAATTAATTTCTCTGAGAAGTCAAGACAAAAGTTAACATTGCTTACTTGCTGGAATATACAGAGATTAGGAAATGTTCTTGAAATATCCAGTTTTATTAACTCCAAGCTTGCTTCTCTGTCAGCTGCAGAAAATCCAGTGTCTACAAAAGCCAAAGTTACTGCATTTATTACATGGATCAGTGTATGCTTCTTCTTCCCCGCCCTCCCCCCCCCCCCCGCTAAGGATTAGCTTTTGCACAGTTCATTTACTTCAATAAGAATGCTAGGGAATAAAGGCATAGACAGGACAATTGCCTGAATTCAGCACACAGGCTAAGAATCAAGTATGTCAAAGCAACCCTACAGTGCACATTGACCCTCAATATGTTTTGAAGCAACGGAGGGAAAGATGCACGACAAGGCAGGCCAGGCACTTTACTGGTATTCACTGACAAATCATTAGACAGACACAAGCCTGTTAACCTGTGACCCCTCACCCTCAACAAGGCTTCCCAATGTCTCCTGAAATAGCTGCCTCTGTGGAAAGGTTGCGGTGGGAGGGAGAAGTCCTGAAGCAGAAGCATTTGATGGATGCCACCTGTCTCTACCACTGTCAGGTCTCCTTCCAAAAGCATGTTTGTTTACTCATTGCATGTGGTTTTAAAGATCATGGACAATGCAATACGCTCTCCATAACTGAAATGGATCTGATACAAAGTAAATTGCTGAAGTATTAGTTTTTCTTCTGATACCAAAAGTTTATTTGTATTTTGTCTGTTCTGGCAAGTCTAGCTGGGAATTACCTACTGCTATTTATTGAGCAATCAAAAAACAAGAGTTGTCACTAGCCAACGCTTACACCAATCACATGAGCATCTACACTCCAGAAAACAAAGTGCAAGAGGAAGCTGGAAATGTACTAGATGTCATCTTATTTAAGATGCAGACAACGTTAAGAGAACAAAGCAGGGGATTTCCAATAAAAAATATTTTTCTGTTGATAAATGCCAGTATGCATGTTCTCCTCTTTCTGCTCACCATAATTACTTACCAAAGGCAATTTCAAGCATCTGCATGTAGTTTTATAATCTCTCAAAAACAGACAACTCTTCCAATCAATTAGTAAATCTCAAACCACTTCATCTGCAAAAATAAATTGCTGCTTTCTGAAACACACCCAAGAGATGGGCTCAAAGCTGCAATACGGGACCTAAAATGCAATTTTCTGCTATAATTTGAGTTTCAATTCCAAAACTACAGATGCAGCGAAGTATTTTAGTGTTGCAATTCGAATTATAACCCCCAACTTTCCTAGTTGTCCTACAAATTGGCATCAAGAAGAGTACCTAGAGACAGTTTATAAAGAAAAATGAACAAGTATGTTTTGTAAGAGACCACAGTTCCACTGAGAAGAAAGAATAATGTTATTTCTTGCTTCCCCAAAAAGAAGCTTTCTTTTTACCAGGCACATCTTTATAGCTGATATTTTTTGTTTAAAAGTTATGATTTCATTTCAAGGAACAATTTTACAAAATCTCTTACTCTGTAACACAGCATAAATCATTCAGGAAAAGCGTACCTTCACATTCTACTTCAGCCCCTCCTGTGCTAAGTGATCGCCATTTCTCTTTGGCACGAGCCAGACAAATATCATACAGTTCTGGAAAAAGAAAAAAGAGAAAACGAAGTCCACTATCTATATATGCTCATGTCCACTGTCAGGTACTACCTATGTACCACACAAAGCAACACTGCCCCAGTCATTACAAGTAACAGTATTGTTGAGAAACTCTTTTACCAAACAGCAATTAACTTTGAATTTAACAAGACTGATGAGTGATTAATGTGTACAGAGAAGGTATCTTAACCTTGAGAATAGAAATATCCTGGCAGGATTGCTCAAACGAGGTTGATAAGAAAGAACCACTTGGCTGAACAACAGAACTGGAAAACGTTCAAGGAGAAGAAACTATCCTCAGGAGACTTGTGACTATAAAAGAGAAAAAGGAGTGGGGGGCTCACTCCCCAAATGACCACCGACAACCACCCAAGACCCCCGCACATGTGTAGTGTAGTTTTGCAACACCAGCATTATGTAAATGTAGTAGACAGGCAGAGACTTTTCAGAAAATGTGTGAATATTCATGTCTTTAAGGTACATAAAGGATGAACTTTTGTTTCAGGGCATGCACATTAGGTGGAGTGATCCCCCGTACATCCAGTGCTGCAATAGAAGAATGCCTGCTTCTTTTGGAGCTGGTTGACAGCCGGCTGAATATAAGCCGGCAGTGTGCCCAGGTGGCCAAGAAGGCCAACAGCATCCTGGCCTGTATCAGCAATAGTGTGGCCAGCAGGAGCAGGGAAGTGATTGTGCCCCTGTACTCGGCACTGGTGAGGCCGCACCTTGAATACTGTGTTCAGTTTTGGGCCCCTCACTACAAGAAGGACATTGAGTTGCTGGAGCATGTCCAGAGAAGGGCAACGAAGTTGGTGAGGGGTCTGGAGCACAAGTCTTCTGAGGAGCGGCTGAGGGAACTGGGGTTGTTCAGTCTGGAGAAGAGGAGGCTGAGGGGAGACCTCATCGCTCTCTACAACTACCTGAAAGGGGTTCGTGGCGATGAGGGTGTTGGTCTCTTCTCCCAAGTAACTAGTGATAGGATGAAAGGAAATGTTGTCAAGTTGCGCCAGGGGAGGTTTAGATTGAATATTAGGAAGAATTTCTTCACAGAGAGAGTGGTCAAGCATTGGAACAGGCTGCCCAGGGAGGTGGGGGAGTCATCAACCCTGGAAGTATTCAAAAAACCTGTGGATGTGGCGCTTCAGGACATGGTTTAGTGGGCATGGTGGTGCTGGGTTGATGGTTGGACTTGATGATCTTAAAGGTCTTTTCCAACCTTAATGATTCTGTGATTCTGTGATTAATGCTACACTGGTGCTAAGAAATTTACTCCCAATTTCAGTAACAGCATCTCTAACATCGTAGTTGAACTTCCAAGTTTGTTAGGTTCTGAAAGACTTGTTCCACTGACCTGTAACATAAGATTAAGTGAAACGAAAAGGTAATCTAGGCACAACTTGCATTTTGTGTTCAAGCATTTACTTTTCTTATAGAGCACCGATGTTCAAAATTATAGTCTGATTGGATAACTGGGGTAAGTCTAGAAAATTCCACCTAAGAACTACACCCAGGGTAACTAAGCCAAGCACAGAAAAGCAGCACAATACAGGAGGAGTAGAGGCAGTCTACCACACTTCCACATTGGAATGAATTACTTATGTTAGTCTTTCAGAGCTGTGTTCTTCTGTACTCTGAAGCAGCACACTATTTCTATTTTCAAAAACACACACATAAACTGAAGTACAAATTTTCCCAGGGGTCTTTTAATCTCTCACAAACCTAATGTTTTGCTAGAGCAAGAAAAATCAAAGGGAAAAATCAAAGAAAGCACACTATACATATACCCATAGGCATTACAAAATTAACAACAATGCTAAGTTTCAAAAAGGAAAAAAAAAGCTTGAGTCATTCTGACCATCTTTATCTAACATCAAAACAAGACACAGTGACAACAGTAATTAGAAACAATTCACAGCAGCAGTCCTAGAGCAGCTACAAGATTAAAAGACACTGTATTTTTGAACAAAATATGTCAAAAGAATCATAAAAAAAGCATAACTAGATAACATCTCCTCACACCCACACCTCAGGTTCTGATACACCGTAATTATTTATTATTTATTATTTCAGGACCGTCCTCTTACAATTTCTCTTTGTAAGACAATGTAGACAAAATAATAGTCTCACCATGGGTGATGTTTAACTCATTGCCAATTGCCAAGCTCCAGACTTTGCCTCTCACACTTGGTGGAATGCCCTGCCACCATAGCTCTCGAACTTTGCGGGAACACCACCTGTTTAAAGTAAAACAGATTATTCAAAGAACTATTTAATTGCCAGCTGAACTGCAAATGTGTCCTCCTACTTCTGCTGAAGGGATCCAAACCCAAATGAACACCAATGGGCCAAGAAGTCAAGCGTAATTTGCACATACCCATTCTTCAGTACTATTGTGCTTTGAACTGTAAAGGAAAGCTTACTTCCTTCCAAGATTATGGCTTATTTCGAGAGAAGCACTGAAATCACAATATCCATAATCTGCAACCACACTTGACCAGAAATCATAGGGGACAGAAATAAACAAGAGGAAATCTGTATCTATGCCACTGCCTATGCTAAGGACTAGACAACTCCATGTAAGATTAAATACTGAAACAAGTTATGGAATTCTACCCTCTCCCCTCTGTCATCACCCTGCTGTTGAAAATGAGACATGCTGTTTCCCACCCAGGTTTGCAGCTCTAACCCTCCAGAAAAATGCATGAAGACATAACAAGCAGTAACTTTCAGGCGGAAGCATGAAAGGCATTTTAACAGAACACAGGCTTTGAAGAGGCTGCAGTTGATGTTCATCAATCTGAGAGCCCAGAAGGAAGAACAGAATAGCACCTAAGACCCAATGAAAGTTTGCGGTAGTGACAAGAAACACAACAATCCATTTATCTAAAAGCAAATTCTGAAGTAAAATGTATAATAGTGAATACATTTGGGAACTTCTGGATTTATAAACCAATACAGGAAAAGGTGTCACTTTTACAGCAGCCATAACAGATACATCTTCAAATACTAAAAAGACATGTAAATCTACAATTTGCTTATACTTAATTTGTTACTTCAGTTCTCCAGAAATGCATATTCCAACAAATTCTGTCCATGTCTTTAACATATATTTTCAGGACAACTGAATTCCATGACTAAGCAAATTGCAATTGTGAGTGCTGCTTTATCTTGTTATGGTGGTTATCAGGGGGTGGGGGAGCCTGTTTTTTAAGATGACTAGCAAAGTCCATGAAAAATTAGACAATGAAGGCTCTTCTCCAATTGCCTGTGCTGTGTCTTTGCTGTGTCTTTGTAGGAAATCTTTTAGCACTTAATTTTATTTAAAAAAAAACTTTTTCTCTACTTCTCTTTTCCATCACTTGATTATCCCAGCAGGTATACCACTCTAATTAAAAAGGCTTTATAATACCATACATGTATTTCAATCTACATCTGGTATTATAGCATCAACAGCTCTAGTCAAGGAGAGCTCATTTCTGATAAATGCACAGCCTTCAACATTCTGCTTTTACATTCTCCACCACAGATCACTTTTCAGTGTTTCACAGTTTCTGAATATCCTGAACCTCCACTAAAGATGAATAATAAGAATTAAAACTGCATCACTTCCAGCCACCTTGTAGAAATAACAAAACATAGGTTGCTCATTTTCTTTGTAGCTGTCCAAAAGCGACCTTCAAACAAAAGCTTCCAAGACCATTTAAATTGTACTTGCTAACTTTGTAACTTCTCTTCAGGGTACAGACTCAGCAATTTTAATTAAAACTCAGTATAACATACTGTCTTACATAGTTTCCCAGTTAGGCAAGATTTCATTGTTCCAAGTTAAAACAGCATTGCCGATGCTGTCTTCCAGTTTACAGCGTTCTTCCAGTTGTTTCCTTCTCTTCTGGGCTTCTTTAAGCTCTGCAGAAAAGCAATTCTCATTTTAAGTTAATAAAACCAGAAACCAAATATTCAGAGTTAGCTAGTCATGGCTATCCAGCCATGCAAAAGCACACTATATTCACCTAAATGTAGAGTCGACTGCTCATGTTCTAAAAATTTCCCAGACATACAGCAAGCTAAGCAGTGATGCCAAATGTGAATAAAGAACGAAGTGGAACTATGCATAAGGCTCATTTTCAATGGATGGGACAAAGGGAGTCGGATAACATATGGTTCTTTTGACCCTTCAAATCTAACCACATTAGTAACTTTGAATTAGCATCTCTGACAGCCAACACCCCCACCTAGTAGGGCAGGTCAGATTTCCTAATAAAGCCTCACCTCTTTTTTTATAGCAGACTCAAAAGTAACAAATTTTGTATTTTGCTTTCACTCTTATGTGTTGTCTTTCTAAATGATGGTTTAGATATATTGTCAGGAAATCACAAGAGCCACATTTTTGATGCTACTTAGCATATAGTTAATCTAAACTCATTGTATGTGAGTTTATGATCATACATCACATATATATATATTTACATTCAGTTCATTAAAATAAAACATTTTTCATGTTTAGTTTAAATATATTTTACATTTTTGCATTACCACTCAGTATTTCTTCTTGCATCAACCACTATTTTTTCCACCAGCAAATTTGTTAGACATGCAATTTAACAAACGCAGGCAGGCACTCTCTACAGCAGCACAGTGGAAATACAGGGCATGTGCTTGCACACACACACTGTCTACAATATGGGCAGGTACTGACCTGGCAAGGAAAACTAACTGAAGAACAGCGGTACCATGAACAAGGTCTTTGGAATAACACATACAACCTGATGGGTCCACTTTAAAGCCCAACAGCAGCTGTGCCTGAGCAGAACCATACCAACTGCTGTGTAACATTCCCAGCTTCCATACGGGCTCTTTGTAAGCCTGCCTCAATGCATTTTTCTCTAAACAAAAAAAGGGTGTTTACACTCTTTGATTTCCTGACCTCTACACAATACATCTCTCTGCAAAGCTGCTGAACTGGAGTGGCTTTAGGGAAAACGGTTTGTCAGAGTATTTATCTGGACAGAATGACAGACTCCCATCCAGTGAAGACAACACAAGGACCAGGCCCATTGCCTAACCTGAGCATCATCCTATTTCTCCCAAACCATCTACCCTATGTGCAAAGAAAGAACAGAGAAACTCCTTTGGACTACTACACCTGAAGTGGGTATACTAACATGGGAGTCAAACGAAGTTACACTTAAAACCACAAGAGAATACTTTTATTAATATGTCAACTGCAGAAAGCAAGTAAGTTCTGTGTTCCAATCACCTTTCCACTGCTTCATATGGCTCAGGGGTCTGGCCAGCTGGACAAAAAATATTCCAGTAGCTCTCACTGGACACAAAACTTCTATGAGTCCAAATTTCCTATTATTGCAATGCTTGTTTTTCATTAGAAAACCCAGATGGTCAAAAATACCAGCAGAAGGAAACCTCTACTGTCAGCTCTACCTGATGTGCACAGTACAGGGTTGCCAAGACACTTCTGTCAACAATGTCAGACAAGAAACTACGAGCAAAACTTTGGGAAAGCTGCACATTTTCAGTGGAAGACAGATTATCAAATGAACATAACCACATACATATTCCTATATAGAAAATTATGCATTTAAGTACTATAGCCTCAACAGGTTGTTCCCAACATGAAACTATCAAATATCCTGTAGTTATCTAAATAAGTCTAGTCTTCACTAAGTTGATTGACAATCTATTTCAATATATTATTAAGTTTTTAAACTCACATACAGATGCCACTCAATTATTTAAGAGTTACAAATTAAAAAATTCTTTCCTGCTGGATTCTAGGATTGTTTTCTTTTTCAGGTTGGGGTGGGGCTTTTTAATGAAACTACCTTCCGTCCTCTCTCATCTCTGAATTGATCCCTCTTTGAGGAGAGGTACAGATCCCTCATATTACAGAGCAACAGACTGACACAAGTACACTTCAGGTTTAGAAATACGCCTTAACTTTACTTCTCTGAAGACAAGAAATTCCATCACCTCTTTTTTTTGCTTGAACCACCATTTCTTCGTACTGTTGTCTGTGTTTCTGAGCTTCTTCTGCTGGTTTTGCAGGGAGGTTCCTTACATTAAAAAAAAAATTCAGTATTTAAAGTTGGCATGCTTGTCTAAAGAAAATTCTAGACGCTTCTAAAAGAAAAGCATATACTGCTTCTTGTCAAAATATTTGATCAAAGAGTAGATCCTTGGAAAGAATTTTTTTTTTTGCCAGAGTCAGCAGAAGAGAAGGGAAGAACACTGACCAGCTATGACTACTTTTATGTATAAAACATGCTGAGTAATTTCCTTATGTTTGGTAATTTCAGCATTTTTATTATTAAACCAACTGAACCCACAGGCTAATCTTTATAAATAAAGGGAATATACTGGTATATACCAAACTGGTAGTTTAAATTTAAGCTGATCTCAACAGGTAAGATGCATGACCATACTCTCTCTTACTGTGCATCTTGTTTAAGAGTTACATCCACAACTAACTTTACCCATGCAGTAATGACTCCCTAGACCAGCTTCCTTTTTCCCCTCTGTTCTCTAAGACCCCATTTCTATTTTAAATGCTTAACTTCTCCCCGTTGCTTTTACAGCAACAAGGGGCACTGGAATCATCCTCTACATTCTCCAGTTGTCAATACCAACACGGCCGTTTTGATTTGTGATTAGAGCCTGGACTGGTAACATCACTGCCATACAAATACACGTGCTCATAAGTCAGACCACATTAACTTTAAGCTAATCATATTTGTAATTAACATAACCACCATGTACCTCATACAACTGCAGGATCACCAAAACATCAGAACAGGAAATGACTAAGAATTTTGTCTTCTGTATTGTAGAACACTGTATTGTATTCCTAGCACTGTTTATACCTTTGATTAATTAAAAAGATACACAAAAATTCACTTTCACATTCCTCTAAGGTGTCACAATAAGGCAGCCAATAGCCATCAACATAATCACCATTAATAGTAGTATGCTTTACTATTTACACAATTGTATTACCTGCAAAGTATGCACAGCCGTGTGACATATGCCTATGAATATTTTTTTAAATCAAGATTGTTACAAGAACAATAGAAGTGGATTTTCACATTATTGTCATTGTTAACCACAGAGAACGATCTACTCTTTTCCAGTGTCATTTATGTAAACTGACCAGCATGTTTTTCAAATCCAAGTCTTTAGAAATGGTGTAAGTTAGGGAAATCTTGGAAAGGAAAACCAGATCAAACAATGCAAGTTCTGCTAACTTGAATTCCACCACTTAAATTATTTATCCTGACTCTTAGTGACATCATCATACATGTGAGATGGTGTTTAGGATCTATTAAGATTCAAACAACAATTTTTCCAGTTAAAGCTAGAGGGATTATGGAATATTTATTGATTTTTCCTAGAAAGGTCTAGCTAAACCCTACAAGTGAGTACAAAACCAAGAACCGCCATTTGGAAAAAAACTCAATGCATTTTTCTTTCAGAAGTCTTAAATCTTTTTGTCATAGGAAATAAAAAACATTTAAAAATTACTTAGAAGTCTTAACAGGTTAAAAAAAATAGTATGGAAACTATAAGTAAACAATTAAAAAAGACTGTTTAGAAAGATTCATCAGAGGACAGCACTGCTGTCCAGAGCAGTTTTCTCTAGTAGACAGAAGAAATGATGATTCAATTGTTTAGAATCTTAAAAATACCTTGTCTGCTAGCAGTTCCTTGGTCTATGAGCAGTAGGAAAGAAAGCAAAATCCGAATGTTACCCTGTAATGTATCACTTATTCAATCGATCTGAACACTGTACTTCTCAGATTATCTCACATGAAGAATGATTTTTACAGACAGGTTTTAAATACAACACATAAGCTAGTATGTATTTTTTCCATTTGTACGCAATAAAACCTGCTATAACAATCATTCTTACATTGCTCTAGATGTCCCAAGAAGTCTTGTCACAGTCTACCAGTCAAGCCAAAAAGTGTCTTAAATAACCCTACAACTAGACTCCTTTGATATGAGCATTCTTCACACAGATTTGTTGATGAAAACACAGACCTATGCTATAGCAGTTCTTTACACCAATGCACAGCTGTATTAAAAATGCAGACACCAAGCCTGTAAAGCTGGGTACCATTCATGAGTTGACTAAACATGACTGAATTTGTGTAATTCAGGAGCAAACCACAGTAAAGCAGCTGCTACTAAATCGTTACGGAGTTAGTCTGCATACGCAAGAATCTCCTTGCGGTAACAGAAGCATGAAACAACTTATAAAGTACTTGTCAACCTTTAAAATGCGATGCTGAACCCACTGCAGAACAATCATTGTATTGTTTCATTATTTATGGAGGTGTGGTCTTTCTTTGTGTAAGCAGGACACTATATCCTTGCTTCTCATTTTCTTCAGCATATGCCAGCTTCATTTTTATACTTATGTTCTCTCAGGGAAAATAAAAATCCCTTAATTTGTGTTTAGAAGGTAGAATCACTCAAAACTAGAGCTCTGCTCTCCTCATGACCTCCCTTCATACAAAGCCATTGCTTTTATTATAAAATAAGGTTACTTTTGTTTGAATAATTTTTCTCATAATCATCCCACTTCCATATTCACTAGCTTGAAAAAAGATTTCTACATTGAATTTTACATCATCTGTTTATGTTAGAGCAATCAAATACATACAGTAATAAAAGCTTTGCTAGCCCAATTACCTAAAGACCCTCACTGTGGTACTTCCCAAAACTTACGCTGGTCTGTCCTCTAGAATAAGTGCTGTAGTGGAGAGTGGTTCAAAATCAAGATTCTTCCTCACATTCTGTTTAGGAGAGAGTGGTCTGTGAGCTCGTCCAGTTTTTTCTTCATATTCCTAAAGAAGAAAAAGACAAGGCAAGTTACAAGAGTAGGGAACACCAAGATGATACAACGTGGGAATTTTAAAGGGGTCTACAAAAGTCTTCAAGATAATGCTTTCACATCTCTGCCCAACTGCAGTCTCTTTAAAGCTTTTCAACTAGAGGAACATCAGAATCCAAAACAATGTAAAATTTTACATTCAGAAGTGAGTTTTGATGGTTTATTCTATTCCTCCTATTTGCAGAAACACCTTAAGTTCCTCTGACAGCCTGCTTTTCCCAAGTGCTGCTAAGAATGAGCTTACAAACAGCAGATACTATCTGAAGTATAAAATAAAACCTATTTAAAATATTTGTTTTGATTTACATGGTTTTGAAACTGACGCCAAAAATGACGACAAGCTCATTGTCTTAAAATCTCATCATAAGGTTTCTCCTACCCAAGCTAGTTTCAGATGCAATACTTCCAATGACGGGGTGGCGGGGGGAAGGTTAAAATCAGATAGACTGAAACCCCACACTTGTTACGATGCCCTGAAGTATGACTATCCTAAATCGTAACAGTGCATAACGTATTAACTTGTAATACAGACACTGACACCCTGGAGCAAGACTAGCAAAGAGGCACCAAGATGACTGGGGTCTGGAGCAAGTGGCACATGAAGAGAGGCCACAAGAACTGGGCTTGTTCAGCCTTCAGAGGAGAAGGATCTTCAGTAGCTGTAGACAGCAGTAACAGGATGGTGAAGGCTGAGTCCAAGTCTCTGAGGTGCTTATATAAAGAACATGAAGTCAACAGGCACAAACTGCTACAAGGGGAATTCTGGTCTTGGGAGTGGAGAGAATCACTAGGAAGGTAGTCAAACACTGGGACAAGTTTCCCGATACATGGTGGAACCTGTAAACAAAGGCATTCAAACCTCAGGTGGATGAGCCCTGGGAACCTGGCCGAAGCAGATTCTCTCAGAGGGGGGAGTGAGCCCCTCAGAGGTCCTTCCACCCTTAATTACTGTATCACTGTGACCTGCATGAGAGGACTTGGCATTACATATACCACGCTATTTTTATTTTTCCCACAAACACTGTTTTGGAAGAAAATGTACCAAAACCATGACCTGATAGGATAAAACAACCTTTACACAACTCCCATCCACTCCAAAGCTTGAGGCACTTATAGCAAACATTAAGTATTCAAAGTATCAGTGATCTACAAACAACAGACACAGTCAAACAGTCGTACAGAAAAACCAAATCCATATTACACTTACTTTTTACATTCAACTTTATAATGAATTTTGCCCCTTCCAAAAATCACCTGCTTTCACATGTAGCTTGTTTCTGCCATTTCTACTAAAATAAAGGAAACTATACTGTGAAAACTAATCATTATAAATGAGCACTATGAACAGAGTTCCAGGCATAGTCTTTTTCCAAAGAGCTAACCTAACCCATGAATTATGTCAAAACTTCCCTGGGCAATAGATCCAACCTTTCAGACACAATCAAAACAGCCTGGACCATTCAGAAACTAAAACAAGATCCCTACCACTTCCAGAAAGGCCTTCATCCTCCAACCCCACCTTAAAAAAAAAAAAAAAAAAAAGGACAGATGTGCCAAAAAGGCCTTCATCCCCCAACCCCCCCTTAAAAAAAAAAAAAAAAAAAGGACAGATGAAAAACACATGAACACAGAGCAACACAGCTGTGGTTTTCTACTCTGTCTCATACACTTCAATTCTAGTTCCAGCTAGTTCTCTGGGACTCATGGGTACAGGTCTGTGAAGCTCTCAGGACACCAAAAAACCCTCTTTTTCCTTGTTTGTTAACTGGCCACTGTCTCAACAATCAATCCTATGATGCCTGCATTACTGTGATGGGAAACATTGTAATGAATTTGGAATGTCTGGCTCATTAATACTAGTTAATACTGTTATGCATGACATCAGTTTGAAAACAAGGAAAAGAACCAAGAAAAACGTATTTCAACTACTGAATAGTACTTAGCTTTGTTTAGCAAAGGGATAGTACTCATGCTGACAAAGCTGTTCACTAAAAAAAAAAAAAAAAAACACAACAAACCTCCAGCAAGAAAATAAGCAAAGAAATACAGTAAAAAAGGTATTGTGATCGACAGCATATTCAGACAGCTAAGACCTTATTCTTGCATTAATAGCTCCTTGCAAGCAACTGATAGTTACCAGTGTATGAGTGCACCACCATAACATGCTTCAGCTACACCGTCTACTGCGCAGTATATCCACTCTGCTGACAGAAATGAAGCAAATGGCTATTCTTTCTCACAGTTTCTATTAGGAGATTTATTTTTTTTTTAATTAGCTATTTTTCACAAATTAACATAGTCAAATATTAACATCTATTACTGCTTCCACAGCCTGGTCCCTAAATCTGATGACTTTATTCCCTTGAGACACTACTAGTGAAAGAAAATCATCTGGCATCCACAAGAAATGGCTAGTATGCAGAAACCATCATATATTGATCTAGCTAAAGCACCACAGAACTTGACATTAAAACGCACGCACCCAATGCTTAGCACAGGAGAAGTTCCAGAAAAGCTGCTTAATTTTGGCTTACGAAAAGTATGTTCAGGGTCTTCTTTCATTGAAAGCCAACTGCAGAGCAAAACTGCTTTTGGAAGGTGACACAAATTGTACATACCAGGCTGCAATCAGGATTTTATTCCATACAGTAGAATTAATTTGGAAATCTCACTCAGCTAAGCATGAATTATTCCAGACCAGCACTACACATACCATTTCTCCAAGAATTTATTGATTAAGGCATGTTTTATTTTGGAATATGGGTGTCTAGTTACAGTATTGGCATATTAGTACAGTTACTCAAAAGTCTTAAAGAGCAAAAGCCCACCCTGCATTTCAGCAAGTATTCACTGACATGTTCTACTCAGCACTACACTACAGCAAAGCAGCCAGACCAGCACAAAAATGGGAGTGGCACATTTTATCAGATTACGAGTCCTTTGTAGTAATTTCATCCTTTCCAGTGGTAGCCAAAAAAGAATAAAAATGTCTACTGGTGGCAGTCGTTATTGACGAGACTGGTTTTAATCAAGGAAAATTAAAAAACAAACAAAAAACTCATTCTACCCCAAAAAACCCCCAACAAAACAGAACAAAAACCCACCCAAAATTCACAGAAAACAAAAGCTTGTGAAAACGATCTTTTATTCCAGTAAGAAGAGAACGCAATTTTGAAAAGCAGTGTATGATACAGCAATGAAGCACAGTGAAGCCTTCACAAACTCATATTGAGAGTATCTGCTGACTGAGCAAGTGGAAATATCTGCACGTATAGGCATACTGCAATAGGCTGAACCACACAATAGCTCATTTTAAGCTTTTTCTTTTTTTTTTTTTTTAAAACAGACTCAAATTTCTCACAGGTACAAATAATTCAGTATCTATTTAAATCCTATGCTGTAATTAGGGGTTACTAACCTGATACGTTGCAAGTTAATTTTAGGATCAATTTAGGATGAGCCGATCGTTTACAACTTAGAATACATCCTTATCACTGAGATCACTTAGGCTTTCTTCCAGGTTTCATCTTAACCTATTCAGCATTCAGCCACGATAGCTGAACTAGGGTTTGAAGATGTTCTAAAAACAGTGTGCTGTAGATTAAAGTGATGATTTAAAAAACCAGAAACCAACCAAACAAAAAAAAAAAAAACCCACATAAACACACACACACACACCCCGAAACCGAGTTTAATTCTGGGTGGAACCTGACAGCTTTGCAGTTGAAGAAGCTCAAGTTGCAGTGATCCTCAGCAGTTCTTCATGAGACAAGGTAACCCGCAAAGGGATCCTAAACCATCTCTAGGGCGAGACACGAATGACCCACCAGAACACGGGGCAAGCGCTACAAGATCAACGGGGGGAAGCGGGAGGGGGCTGCGTGGTTTCGCACAGGCAGCGAGCCTGCCCGGGGAGCAGCCGCACGGCATCGCGGCACCCACAACGCACAAGCTGCTCCATCAAGGTCATCTTGTTTCGGCCCCGTTTGTTTAAAGGTAACCACGCTCCGGTGAAGCCGCGTGCGAGATACGCATGCTAGGCGACGGAGGGGCGACAGCCAGGCGGCTCGGCTCTTGCCCCGTGGCTAGCAGCTCTGCGCGGGATGGGAGACGGCTCGCCGCCAGCACACCCGGCGGTTCCCGCTGGCA